TCAACATAGTTTTGAAAGTCCTAGCTACAGCAATCAGAAAAGAAAAACGAATCCAAATTGGAAAAGGAAGTAAGACTGTCACTGCAGAAGACATGATACTATACACAGAAAATCCTGAAGATGCCACTAGAAAACTAGAGATCATCAATGAATTTGGTGAAGTTGCAGGATACAAAATATACAGAAATCTGTTGCCTTCCATATCCTAACAGTGAAGTATAAGAAAGCGAAATTAAAGAAGCAATCCCATTTACCATCTCATCAAAAAGAATAAAATACCTAGGAATAAACCTACCTAAAGAGCTAAAATAACTGCACTCCAAAAACCAAGATGCTGACGAAAGAAAATGAAGACGACATAGATGGAAAGACATACCATGTTTTTGGACTGGAAGAATCAATATTGTTCAAATATTAAAATTGTTAAACTGTTAAAAACCCAAGGTAATCTACAGATTAAATGCAATCCCCATCAAAACACCAATGGAAGTTTTCACAGAACTAGAACAGATAATTTTAAAATTTATATGGAAACACAAAAGGCCCAAAATAGCCAAAACAATCTTGACGAAGAACAGAGCTAGAGGAATTATGCTCCCTCATTTCAGAGTATACTACAAAGCTATAGTCAACAAAACAGCAAGGTAACTGGCACAAAAATAGACACACAGACCAGTGGAACAGGATAAAAAGCCCTAAAATTTAACACATGCTCCTTTGGTCAATTAATCTACAATGAAGTAAGCAAGAATATACAGTGGAAAAAAGACTGTCTCTTGGATAACTGGTGCTGGGACAACAGGACAGCTCTACGTAAAAGAATGAAATTAGGGCATTCTCTAACACCACATACAAACATAAACTCAAAATGGATTAAAGACCTTAACGTAAGAAGAGATACCATAAAACTAGTGGAAAACATAGGTAAAATACTCTGGCATAAATTGCAGCAATTTTTTTTTTTTGGATCCATCTCCTAAAAAGTAAAGGAAATAAAAGCAAAAATAAACAAATGGGACCTAATTAAACTTAAAAGCTTTTGCACAGCAATGGAAACTATCAAGAAAACAAAAAGACAACCTACTAAGAAGGAAAAAATATTTGCAAATGATCAGGGATTAATATCCAAAATACATAAACAACTCATACAACTCAACATCAAGAAAAACCCCAAATAACCCAATTAAAAAATGGGCAGAAGAAAAAGAAAATGGGCAGAAAACCTGAATAGACATTCTTCCCCAGAGGAAATGGAGATGGCCAACAAACACATGAAAAGATGCTCAACATTGCTAATCATCAAGGAAATGCAAATCAAAACCACAATGAGATATTGCCTTATATCGGTCAGAATGGCCATCATCAAAAAGAACACAAATAACAAAATGCTGGTGAGGATGTGGAGAAAAGAGAACCCTTGCACCCCGCTGGTGGGAATGTAAGTTGGTGCAGCTAGTGTGGACAACAGTATGGAGGTTTCTCAAAAAAACCAAAAATAGAACTCTCATATGACTCAGCAATTCCACTCCAGGGTATACATTAAAAAAAAAAAAAACACAAAATTTGAAAAGATAACATGCACCTCAACGTTCATAGCAGCACTATATATATATACCATTGCCAAGATATTGAAGTAACCTAAGGGTCCATCAACAGATGAATGGATAAAGATATACACACACAATGGAAAACTACTCAGCCATGAAGAATAATGAGATTTTGCCACTTTCAGCAACATGGATGGACCTGGATGGAGAACATTAGACTAAGTGAAATAAGTCAGACATAGAAAGTCAGAGATACTGTATGATATCGCACATATGTAGAATCTAATCGTGTATACAGCCGAAAAAAAAAAAAAAAAAGGCAGGCTCACAGATAAACTAGTGGTGACCAGTGGAGGGGTGAGGGACAATACAGGGTTGGGATGTGGGAGGTACAAACTACCGGGTGTAAGAAAGGTTCCAGGATGTACTGTACAACATGGAGAATAGAGCCAATATTTTGGAATAACTATAAATGCATAATAATCTTTCAAAATTGTGTTAAAATTTTTTTAAAGAAACAAAGTCAGCATCATTTAACTTTATAAGCTTCCTCAATAAGACATGTCAAAATCATATTTGCTGAAAGTGAATGAAGAATACTGCACACATGGGAACAACACGGCATGAACAGCAGTTTACTCAGTCTCACAGGTATGAGGTTGCGAACTTGGGCAGCGTTCTCCTTAGGGTAAGTTCCTACACCTTTTATTGCCAGCTCAAAGGAGGTGACCATATTATGTCTCACCCACGCTGTCACCCTGCCCTAGGCAGCACTGTTAAACTCCACAAGAGCTAGAGGGACAACTAGAGGCCCTCAGTAGTCAGGCTCCCCTACACGTTCCGTCTCAGTATGTTGGACACGCTGACCATCTGCCCAGTGCTTTCACGAAACTCTGCTGCGTACAGAGCAAGACAGTACTGTAACGTACTAGTCTGTGCTTTCCTTCAAGAATTTTCTCAATAGTAAACCCCCTCCATGGAAGTGTCCACTGTAAGGTGCCTACCAACTAAAGGTTGGTTATCACAGCTGAAAAAGCGGTTGAAAGTTTAGTCCCCTGAAATGTGTGTTTCAAAAGCCAGTTTCAGAGGCAAAATGTCAGAAGAGTAAGAAATCAGAGCGACCAGTCTTTCTATGTTCCAGGACCAGGCAGAGAGCTGGAGGAGGGAGGAAAATACAAGATATGGAAATAAAATAAGAGTCAAACTGTGGTGTTCCTGAGAAGGGGTGGTGTGCTCTGCCCACAGGCTGTGGGGTGAAAGACTGAGAGAGGCTGCCGTGCAGCACCTGGGATCACAGAGGACTGCAGTATCTAGTTTTTGTATTACTGCTGAGTAACCATCTCAAAAAGTCCACCCCATACCTCTTTACACACATGTGGCTAAAAGAACTGAAAAATGGCTAAGGGGCCTCCACAGGCCGAAAGGGCCCAACATAGCCCCGTGAAGTTTCATCCAACCCCAGACACAAGGGAAGAGCAGCTATTTTTGCTTGTCTAGCCCCTGAGAAGTTCTCCCGAAAATGTAAAATGTGAATGGAAACTAAATAGGTTCTGGGTCAGCCCTACAGAAGACGTAGTTCGGATATGTGTTAACTGAAAGCCAAGAGAGATCAAGGAGAAAGAGGACTCCTTAAAGAGCCATTTCCATCCCTCTCAAACTAAGATGTCAAAACGGAAGGAGGGGCCAGATAACAGTGTTGTAGGTCATGATAAAGCCTTTGCCTTGGCTTTGAATGAGCTGCAGTATCATGGAAGAGTGGGAGTTTAAATTTTTAGGTATTTGAATAATAGAGTGATAAATGTTCAAGTTTGGGTGTAAGTTCCCCTTGATAACTCACAAGAAATTAAGTTTTTATTCTGTCATGGATCTTTCCCATCTGAGGGAAATTTCTCAAAGAACACTGAGTGGAGAAGCTTGCTCATGCCCATCCAAGCTCTTACTTGTGTTCCCACTGAAATACATTCTCACCTTATTTTTCCGTTTTCACTTCACTTTCCACAGATCAGAGCCCTTTCCTTTGTTCGTATGAAAATAATATTCATCTCCAAAGAGATTTCAATTTATACAGAACAAGAGAACATGACATGCTATACTCAGCTCTTCATTCAGCTAAGAAGAAAAGACATTATAGATGGAACTAGAGAAGTATTTCAAAAATTAGTCAACTGCCTCCTGAATGCTTAGATTTTAAGTGTGCAGACATCTAGCTCTCTTCCAAGAATGACTGAATCGAAAGCTCAAGGGCAAAACTACAGAATGAGATGTTTTTTAAATCTGCCATAACGCTTTCTGACTGCTGCTGTTCAGCACCACTAATCAAGCATGTGCACAACTTCTGAAGAAAGAAGAGTCCATAAGCCACATTGTGAAGCCTTTCCATTCTGAATCCAAATGCTTTCAATTACTCTCTTAGGAACAGGGATTTGGCTCATACAACTTAGTAATAAAAAACCAAACAACCCAATCCAAAAATGGGCAGAAGACCTAAACAAGCAATTCTCCAATGAAAACATACAAATGGCCAACAGGCACAAGAAAAAATGCTCAATATCACTAATCATCAGAGAAATGCAACTCAAAACTACAATGAGGTATCACCTCACACCAGTCAGAATGGCCATCATTCAAAAAGTCCACGAACAAAATGCTAGAGAGGCTGTGGAGACAAGGGAGCCCTCCTACAGTGCTGGTGGGAATGTAGTTTGTTACAGCCACTATGGAAAACAGTATGGAGATTCCTCAAAACACTAAAAACACACTTAGCATATGATCCAGCAATCCCATTTGTGGGCATACATCCAGAGGGAACCTTAATTCAAAAAGACACATCCACCCCAAAGTTCATAGCAGCACTATTTACAATAGCCAAGACATGGAAACAACCCAAATATCCATCGACAGATGACTGGATAAAGAAGCTGTGTATATTTATACAATGGAATACTACTCAGCCATAAAAAGAATAAAATAATGCCATTTGCAGCAATATGGATGGACCTGGAGATTGTTATTCTAAGTGAAGTAAGCCAGAAAGAGGAAGGCAAATACCATATGGTATCACTTATATGTGAAATCTTAAAAAAAAAAAAAAGACAAACGAACTCATATATAAAACAGAAACAGACAGACCTAGAAAACAAACTTACAGTTACAAGATTTGCAGATACTAATATATATATAATAGATAAACAAGTTCATACTGGAGAGCACATGGAACTATATTCAATATATTGTAGTAATTATGGTGAAAATGAGTATGAAAATGTATGTTCATATATGGCTGAAGCATTATTCTGTATACCAGAAACTAATACAACATTGTAAACTGACTATACTTCAATAAAATATACATATAAGAAAAAAAAAAGCAGGGATTTGAAACTCTCACAAGCATGTTAGGGGCTCCCAAGAGATTCACAGGGAAAAATGTAAAGATAAGACAAAAGTAGTTACCGACTTCCGGAGGGAAGTTCTCCTCACCCAGGGACAGCAGGTTCCTGCAGGTCTCCAACATCACGTCCCTGTACAAGGCCCTCTGGGCAGGGACCAGGCACTCCCACTCCTCCTGGGAGAACTCGATGGCTACATCCTTGAGTGTAAACAGTCCCTGAAAGGAAAGTGCATTTCATGACGTGGGCAAGTTCTGAGTTTGACACAAACTTACAGAAGCCGACATGTGTTAGGATTGACTTGGCTGAAGTAAATGCTCTGACTGATCCATTTAAGGTAATTCTGAGCAAGTTACATTTCTCTAATTTTTTTTAACTGAGGTGAAATTCTTATCAGAAAATCAGCCACTTGTAAAATATCATTCAGTACATTTGAGCACGTTTACAATGTGAACAAACATCGCCTCTATCTAGTTCAAAAACATTTTAATCATCTCCAAATGATATCCTTTACCCAATCAGCAGTGGCTTCCTTCTTCCCCAGTTTCCCTCAGTCCTTGTTCACTACTGCTTTCTGTCTCAATGGACTTACCTGTTTGGGCTATTTTCATGTAAATGGAATGGTATGAAGTGTGACCTTTTATCTGGCTTCTTTCACTTAGAATGTTTTTGGCTTATCTGTGCTGTCTATGTATCAGTACTGCAGTCTTTTTCATGGCCAAATAATATTCCCTTGTATGAGTATACCACATGTTATTTATTCACTCATCCCTGGATGGACATGTGGGTTACAACCTTTATGCCTAATGTTAATAGTGCTGCTGGAACATTTGTGTAGAAGTATGTGTCTGAATACCGGTTTTCAATTCTTTTTGGTCTGTATCTAGGAGTGGAATCACTAGGTCACATGGTTTTGTTTTCCAGAGCAGCTAAGGCATTTTACCAGCAATGTGTCAGGATTCTAACTTCTCTACATCTTTACCAGCACTTGTTATTTTCTGTTTTATTAGAGTCTTCCTAATTGTGTGTAGAATGATATCTCACAGTGGTTTTCCTTTTGCATTTTACTGTTGAATAATTTCATTGAACAGCTTTTCATCTGCTTGTTGGTTTTCTTTCTTTCTTTCTTTTAAATTGACGTATGGTCAATAACAACGTGTCCATTTCTGGTGTACAGCAAAATGTCCCAGTCATGCGTGCATATATATACACACATATAAATATACATACACACATATATTCATTTTCATACTTTTTCCTTAAAGATTATTACAAGATATTGAAATATAGTTCCCTGTGCTATACAAAAGAAACTTGTTGGTTTTTTTAATCTATTTTTATATATAGTAGCTAACATTTGCAAATCTCAAACTCCCAAATTTTTCCCTTCCCACCCCTGTTGTTGGTTATTTCTGTATCTTCTATGAAGAAATGTCTATTAAAGTTCTTTGACCATTTTATTATTGGGTTCTTGGTATTTTGGTTCCTGAAGTATAGGAGTTCTTCACATATTCTACATAATAGACCCTAACCAGATATGTAATTTGGAAATACTTCCTCCCACTTGGTAGATTATGTTTTCACTTGTGACAGTATCCTTCAGCGTACAAATATTATTAATTTTGGTGAAGCTCAACTTCTCTATTTAGTTTATCTTTTGCTTTCAGTGTCATATCTGCAAATCCACTGCCAGTCCACATCATGAAGATTTACACCTATGCTTTCATTTAAGGGTAGTATAGTTTTAGGTCTTATATTTAGTCTTTGTTCATTTTGAATTCCTTTATTTTATATGGTGACAGGTAGAGGTTCAGTTTCGTTCTTTCACATGAATATCCAGCTGTCTCAGTAACATTTAAGCGAGTACTCTTTTTCCTTGGATGTTTCTGGGAGTCTTGTATAAAAAAATAGACTACAGATGAATGAGTTTATTTGCGGACTCTCAGATTTTCGCTTTGATCACTTTGTTTACCCTGAGTCTGCAGTAACATATGACGTCGGGAGTGGAAGCCCTCCCTTCAAAGGATGACCCCCTAAAGGGGACTCTTCCCCAGTTCCATGCCACTGGGTCACCGTGAGGTGGGATCTGCAGGGAGATGAGAAGAGATTGAGGGAAGGCCCTGCATGAGAGTAAATATTTTAGCAGGGACATTTCAGAGACAGAGAAGATTAATAAGTCCAAACTGTGTCAGTTTAGGAAAGAGATAACAGATCAACACATATGATTTTTACCTGTGAAAACTCCATTCCTTCTTCTTTCCTCCTCCTCTGAGTTTCTTGCTCAGGTAAGATTAGTCTGTGTGACCAAAACATGCTGTTTAATGCTTAGAATCAACACACCCCCCTAATCTGCCACAAAAATCTCAGAGTACCTCTATATGGGAGAAAGACAGTCCGAGGCTGCCAACTGGAACAGAAGGGGTGCAGGAACAAGAACTCCTACACGGAGACGAATTAGTTTTTCACCCACTCCTTCAGGAAGCTCACCCTGCTGCCGAAACTGCCACGCCACTGCAGCCACACTGGCCTCTGTCCACTGGGCATTTAACCAAAGGAAACTGCCTCCTCAAGTTCTTGGCTCCGTTACAGGCAGCCAGCATCCAATGACTGGCTGATACAGGATATGGAAGTCTGTCCCTTTTGTGAATTGGGAGCAACTCTGCACCCTGCCTCCAGAACTCCCTGCCAGAGCTGTACTGAGCAATTTAGATTTCTGTCCTGAGGGTGATGGGAAACCAAAAAAGGATTTAATGCCAAGAGTATGATTTACCCATGACACAGAGATAGTAGACAAGCTGAGGAAAGGTATTCCTCTGTCTCTGGGCCCCGGCCCCTGCCTCTCTCTTAGGTGTTTTTCATAATTGTTGGAAGACTGGAACAAGTTTGAAATTTTAATTATAACCAGGCAAATTGGTCTACCCTATCTTCTCCACGTTACAGGTGGGTTCACTGAGGCTCGGAGGCAGAGTAATTTTACCAAATTACTCTGAAGAAGTCTGAGTTGGGTGAGCAGAACCCGGTGCAGTGGCGGCCCGGCTCGGTTTAAGTGGAAAGGGTTTGTCCTAATTCCAGATTACCTTTCACCTTCCTGAGCAAGAGAAGCTTCTCTTTCAGGGGTTTAATCACATTTAAACATTTAATTCCTTTTTTCCAGAAAACATTATAATAAAAAAAAATACAAAATTACAATTAGTTATTACTTCATAACACAAAAGAGGGTCACACATGGAGATCAGCTCTAAACAGTTCATCATCATGACCACGTGGGCTCTGTTAGAACAAAGATTCACATCAATCTCAGACAGGCTGGGATCTGGGACCCTTTACTGCAGTGCTTGCACCTGGACAAATGGCTCCTGAGCAACAGAATACAAAGAAACTACACAGGACTAAAAATAACTTCATACGTGCATAGCTGGGGCAAATTATGAACGAGATACTAAAAGGCCAAAACCCAACTGCCACTTCTGAGGTACTGGGAGCAAAAGCAGGGCACTGCGCATGATCCCTGCACACTGCACCACAAGGGGGTGGGCAGACCGCCTAAGCTGCCCCTCCAGCCCAACCCACCGATCTGCCCCCACCCTCACCCTATTTAAGGGATCAGCTCATTCCCTCTCGGGGAACAACAGCACCTGTTTCTTGTTCTTGCTCACTTGTGCTGCAACACAATAAATTCCCAATAAAGCTTTGCCTTAATTCCTCGTCTGGCCTGTTAACAATTTCTATTGACTAAAGGGTCCAAGAACCTGGATGGGTAATAAATCCAGCCCATCCTTCAACATCTGCACAGAAAGGACAAAGGGGACTTAAGGGGAAAATCTATTTGGTTGGACACTTCAGCTCACAGCTCACTAATTTAGCAGATCACTTAAGGAAAGAAAAAAAGCTACTGAATATTAAACTAGTTAAATCAGGTTTTGAGTGTTAAAACATGATCAACATCCTTACCACGTACATAGTAATTTACCAGACATCGAAGAATAGATCCAATACAGGACAGAGTAAAAAGCATAAAAACTTCATAATCTGAATAATAACATTTAGAGAGAAAATAATTTGGAAATTTAAAACATATCCAATGGCTTCTGAGATTCAAATTAAAACAAATGTGAGGATCCCTCAGATTCAGAAAAGACTAATAGGAGCCACAAAAGAAAGAGGGTGATGGCAACAGTACTGTTAATAATGGTCGTTTCAAAAAGCACCATGTGGTGAAAGAAATCCTTCCCCCATTTCTTGAAAGGGAAGAGAATGACCTGAAACTAAGTCTCTGCCTTCTGGATGAATCAGGGTTGCGAACCGAGTTATCGTCTGATGCAACAATTAGAAAATGCAGATGCCTCAAACCCCGGGTTTTGTAACGTTCATCTCTTCTGCATGATTTAAACAAGTCAATATATCTTACAAAGACACAAGTTAATACTTCAAACTTAATCTTCCGAATTTAATCAACTCAATACTCACCTGGGCTTAGGACCCCGCTTTCTCCACCACTATGTGCTTTGTTCTCTGTATATGTCTCTCTCTCTCCTCTTTGTCCATTCCTGTGTTTCTTCCTGTTTCCATGCATCATTCTGTTTCCCCCGCCTCACCCCATTCCTCCTACAGACTGGCCCCACTCTGTTAGTATCGGTTTCAATCCCTGTCGCTTTTTCTCCCCAAACTTTCTGACGCTTCACTAACGGCATCTGTTTCTGCCTCTCGGTTCCCCCTCTGCTCTCCTCAGAGGTGAAGGGCGCACACCCACCTCCTGAGGGAAAACTTTGCACAACGGAACTGGGCGGAGGTGGCGGGGACGGGGGTGGGGAAGTCGGGAGTCAGAGAAAGGTTTGAGAAGGGGAGGAAGGGAGCCCAGAGCAGGAAAACATCGCTGCAGGAGGTCAATGTCTATAAGCACCGCAGGCAAAGTTGGGGCTGGTGCCTGCCTCACAGCGGGTTTACCCGGACTGAGACTCCGGAACTGGACCGAGTCTTCTGGCGACACCACGAGCGGCGAAAATGGAGGGCTCAGATCGAAAGCGACGAGCGCGTTCAGGGGTTTTAACTTACCGGGAGACCCCCGAAACCCGCGTGTGGGGAAGCGGGGCCTGAAGCCCGCACAGCGTACTCACCAGAAAAACCGACACCCACTCGCCCGAGCGCGTCCGTTGTTTCGCAGGAACCGCTTCCGGGCCTGCAGGTGCGTGCGCGCACGCGCACCAGGGCGGCTCAGGGGCGGGGCCGTTGGGGGCGGGGCTCTGACGTTCGGTGGGTGGAGGCGGCGTAGAGGGTGGGG